TGAAGGGCGACCAAACCGATTATCTGCTGATGCTGAAAAAGATCTTGTTTCACTTTTATCTGCATTTTCTGATTTTGGATTTGGATTAGATAAAAAACAATTTATGAAACTTGTTCAAACGTATATTGAATTAAACGGATTTCAGAAAAAATTTGTTAATGGTGTTGCTGGTGATCAGTGGTTTTGTAATTTTTTAAATCGTTGGCAGAAAGAAATATCTATAAGAACTCCAGAGCTTTTGACATTAACAAGAGCCTTAGCTTGTAATAAAACTGTAATTGATGCTTGGTTTTTATTACTTAAAGCAACATTGGAAAAATGTGACATTATGAATAGATCTGCCCAAATACTAAACTGCGATGAAAGTGGGTTTTGCACTAACCCAATAAATAAAAAAATTATTTGCAAAAGAGGTATTAAAAACCCTGTATCTATTGCTCCTGGATCAGGAAAAGAACAGTTTACTGTACTAGCAACAATATCAGCTGCAGGAAGAAATTTTCCTCCATTTATTTTATTTGCTGGGAAGAATTTGTATAAAGAGTGGATGACTGGTGGACCAAATGGTTCCTTATATGGGGTGACAAAAAACGGTTGGATAGAAACAGAAGTTTTCACTGAATACTTTAACCATCTTGTTTTATGGTTGAAAGACACACCCAAGCCTGTTTTGCTTATCTTTGATGGTCACATTAGTCATATTTCTTTAGAAACTGTTAAAAAAGCAGTTGAAAATCATATAACTATTTTGTGTTTGCCAGCACACTGTTCGCATTTGCTTCAGCCACTTGATGTAGGAGTCTTTCGCCAAGTTAAACATGTATGGCGTGAAATTCTGGCCAATTGGTATACCGAGTCAAGGCTGAAGGTGGTTGGGAAATCTGTTTTTCCATCTTTATTAAAAAAACTTTATGATACCTCCTTTAAGCCAGCTCATTTAGTACAATCCTTTGCCAAAACTGGAATTTTTCCCTTTGATCCATCTGCTATAGCTTCTGACAAGTTAAATCCTTCTGAAATCTATGAACACCCTTTTTCTCAGAAAACAAATAACTATAATAATAACGTCCCTCAAAACATCGTTTTAGACACCAATGTCAATGATCAGAACGATACTTGTGAAAATTTTTCTATTGAATCAACAAATAAATACAATTCACAAAAAACTATAATATCAGTAGGAAAAGACTTAAACAATGAAAAAATAAATCAACTATCAATATCAAATGTAGATTGTTCTACTGGAAATAAAATCATTAGAGAAATAGTGAAAGAACAGTTAATGGCCACAAAGGGTGATGGTCGTTCATACAACAAACGACCTACAAAAAAAATAAAAAGACACTATGGAGGTGAGTGTCTTACATCAGAAGATGCATTTAAAAGATTAAATGATGAAGAAAACGAATGCTTTAAAAGAAAGATCAAGCAGCAAGGCAAAATACAAAATAAAAAAACTAATTTATTAGAAATAACAAACACAAAAGAGTTAAAGATGAAGTAGTTCACTTTACCCCAATGTGGGGGTAAAGTGAACTAGTGGACATGTTTTTTTTGAAAATATATTTAATATTGTAAAAGTAGCTTTTAATCTTAGTATTTTGTTTTATATTGTACCTAATACTTTAAATGGTATAAATTTTGAAAACTGCAAAATGTTTTGGCTTTTATTTTGAAAATATTTCCTTTAAATATCAAAAACAGTTCACTTTACCCCAGTTTACCCTATCTGTAATGATTTTTGCCATGTTTAGCTATAATGCGATAGACATGTGAAACAAACATCAACAGGAGTGGTACTCTTGTTGCTCACTGACAATCTAGATTTTAAAAAACCATCTATATATATATATATATATATATATATATATATATATATATATATATATATATATATATATATATATATATATATATATGTATATATATATATATATATATATATATATATATATATATATATATATATATATATATATATATATATATATATATATATATATATATATATATATATATATATATATACATATATATATATATATATTATATATATATATATCAACAGGAGTGGTACTCTTGTTGCTCACTGACAATCTAGATTTTAAAAAACCATCTATATATATATATATATATATATATATATATATATATATATATATATATATATATATATATATATATATATATATATATATATATATATATATATAGATGGTTTTTTAAAATCTAGATTGTCAGTGAGCAACAAGAGTACCACTCCTGTTGATATATATATATATATAATATATATATATATATATGTATATATATATATATATATATATATATATATATATATATATATATATATATATATATATATATATATATATATATATATTATATATATATATATATATATATATATATATATATATATATATATATATATATATATATATATATATATATATATATATATATATATATACAGATGCATCAAGCTTACCAACTGATCAGGGTTCTTCAGTCATATCAACACCTCCGGCTCAGGAAGTAGTCAACAACCTCTCTAGTTCAACAAGTAAGCAAATTGTTAATAATTTCAAACACAAATTAATTACTATGGTTACAAAAATTAAATCCATTTATCAAGTTATGGTATTAATCACCTATATTTAGTTTCTGAAAGGACTCTGGCTTTTTGTGTTTTATTGATGTCAAAAATCTGACTTAGGATTTCTTTGGGGTAAGGGAATTTCTTTTAAAGAAATTCAATTTTTTTATTTTGGTGCGCTCAAAAAGTTCATTATAAACAACTAAAATTTTATATGAAAATAGAGTACATCAATTAGTAGCATATAAACGTTTTGTAAATGACGTAAATGTTACATATAGAATACTGAAACTTTAAACTATGAACCGGGAGGATTTTAAACCGGGAGGTTTAAAAATTAATATCTGATGTTAGTACAAACATAGAGTATATATATTGACTAACAGATAAACTTAATTTTTTTTCAATCATGACAGGCTATACTTTTTTCGGTTACAAATGTTCTCAGTAATAAGTTTGAAGACTTTCGAGTCTCATTATTTTGTAAATGTAGTCCATAAAATCTCTCAACATTTTTGGAGTTTCTGACATCAAATACCAGTAATAACTAGTGGTTTGAAGCCAGAGCCTTTTGTAAGAACTTCACTTCCCTAACAATATTGACTGAAATTATAAATAAATTAAATTATAAAATGATATTTTTGTTAAATAAATATTAGTAGTTGTTATTCTTAGTTTAGTATGAAATGTTTACTTTGATTAAGGTACTCCCAATGATGGCATCAAGGATTCAAATGGTAAATTTGATTTAAAATTTTGTTTTAAAAAAACTTACATGCTTAAAAACTTAAAGTGTTTTGTATTAATTTTTTAGGATTTTCATTTAACCAGTTCTTGCTTTGGCGTACTACGCATCCTGGTCCGAAGACGCGCAAAGCATTTAATGTTTGGGCCCGACAAGGTGGCAAAGACCTCCCCAACTTTCGATGGGGAGGTAGAACTGGGAGCCGCAAGGGTCGCGGACAAGGTGGCCGAGGAGGTGGCGGTAAAGGGTCTTTTGTACTAGGGCGTTTGTATTTTCAGCTCTAGTTTTTATTTTATGTGTAGTTTTATACTTATTTATGTTGATGTTGTTGCTTTATAATTTTATATATGTATTTTTTATTTGAAGTAAAAAAGAGCAACATTTCTTTTTTAACCTTTGTCGTTAATGCATAGGTAATTTATTCTGAAATTTATGTTTAAATAAAAATTTTTAATATGCCAAGCTATACTTAAGTGAAGATTAGCTAACGTCAACTGTTGTCTATACTTGCTAAAATGTTTTAACTGTTGCTACCGTTCACTTGTTCACATCTTGATATTGATGCTCAAGGGTTTAGAGTTTTTTTTGTATGATACTTATAATTTTAATTTGGAAAGAAACAAATTTAAAAAGTTTCATGTGTAACATATTTATGTCTACTTACATTAGGAATTTAAAATGGTTTTTAAATTCTAGAATTAAAATCTCAAATAAAATAATCATCTTTCAGTGTAATAGATAACCCTCCTTTATTAAATTAAAGCGTATGAATACACCTGTCGACGGGTAATCGCCCGTTGGTTACTGCTTATGTAGCTATGTATGTACAATGATTTCCTTTACGTAAATCAGATACTTAAAATATAATCATTTTAAGCTCTTACAAAGAAATTCAAGTTAATTAAGCAAATTATATTTAAAATCTTTTAAAAAGGTATGAAATTTCGGTAACGGAAAAAGTTGATAAGATTTTTTTGTTAATTTCTGCAAAAAGTTGATATACAAAATGTTATATGAAGATAGAGTACATCAACTTGTAGCATGTAAATGTTTTGTAAAAGACGCCGCGCGTCATTTACAAAACGATAGTTACATGACATCTCACAAAACAGTGGATACGCAAGTATTTTGAAACCGTAATTGGGGTTTGTGTAACCGGACACTTGAAGCAAAATAAAATTTAGAAAGCAATAACAACAGATATGATATCATTTACTTGAATATGATATAATTGACTGTTTAAACGTACAACTTTTATAAAAACTATTGTTTTTTTTAATGAACCTTTCAACGAACGAGCGGGTACACAGGCACCCGCTTGTTCGTTGAACGGGTACCCGGCTCTATATATTTTCGAACGACCTTTCGCAATTTTTGAACGACCTACGCTTTAACTCACTGATAAAAATTCTAATCCGCCTGTGTATTTACAAACATCTTTTTCATTCTCATCAACGTGTTTATGAATACTCATATATATTAATTTCATAAAATAATTTTAAAAGAACATTTTAAGAGAACACTCAGCAAACATTGCAACATTTCTGGTTTAGTTGCAATGCTTGCAACTAAACCAGAAATGTTACAATACTTGTTAATACTTTCCAGTTTTTCGCTCTCACGTGAGACTTTAATGAGCAATAAAATACTAAAACATAAAGTTCCAAATTTCTTGCTTGCATATATTTCTTCAAAATTCATAAAAACATTAAAATGACTTTGTTAAACCAAACTATGTAAATAAAAAAAAGTCAATAAATCGGTAGAACCAGACTGACTATAATCGACTATTTCTTTCTCGACTTGGCATTTTGTGTATGATTCAAGAGATAAAAATCAAATGTTAATTTTTATCTCTTGTACTCATTTCTAACAGTGAGCACCACGAGAAGGTAGCCAAGTTCCGCTCACCGCCCTAAAAAAAAAATCTAATTAAGAATAATAACAATATGGTGTGTGTGTGTGTGTGTGTGTGTGTGTGTGTGTGTGTGTGTGTGTGTGTGTGTGTGTGTGTGTGTGTGTGTGTGTGTGTGTGTGTGTGTTAACCCTAAAGGCTTATACCACAAAAGGCTATAAATATTGATATGCCAATATTAAAAAGGTATAAGCAGTTTATGTCAAAATAAAAAATCTCATTTCAAATAAATGACATAAACAACACAATTAGGGTGTTCATACCAAATAAAAATGGCATTATATAAAAATGCCAATTGTAAAAATATATGCTAATATCAGATTGGTATAAACTTCTATGCCCATAATTTTGCATAAACATGCAAGATAATTTTGCATAAACATTAAATAATGAGTTATTAACTCAAGCGTTGTGTGTAAGTATGTGTGTATGACAGTATGATAGCATGTTTTGATAGTATGATAGCATTCTTATTTATTTCATTGGTTTAAAAAATGATTATCAATATGCTAGCAAAGACAGATTTATTGAATTAAATAAGATAAAGTTATTATCATGAAAAAATAAAAATCTATACCTAAATCTAAATAAGATTTATTAATAATAATTATTAAAAATCATTACCTGATGGTTAGTATAACAAGGTCATATATTAAGTAAGGAATAAACCTAATTTTTATTATTTCTTTGTTAAGAATGTCATGACAGTTTCAGATATTATACTTCATTTGTAGTATTAATGTCTGCTATACTGTTGCAATGCTGACAATACCAGAGCTCATCTTCTTGTTCATAAGCGCTCTGTGGAATTCTTTCACATTGCCGATGAAACCATTCTTTGCAAGTAAAGCATTGAGCCATTTGCCTACAAAACATGATAAGAATAAAATATTTTAGCATTATTTAGAAAAAATGAATTATGACTTTATAAATGACAAATTTTATGTCACCTGCTAAAAATGTTCTCATCTTTATGGGTCCAAAACATGCGACAAGAGCAATGCAAGCGTATACGAAAGTCCTTTGCTGCACATTTTTTAAACATAGCTGGATTGATTGTGGTAGGGAAGACATCTAACCGGTTCTTTAGTATACACATAAGGAGATGCTTTCTCATTTCACTTTCTTCAAACATTAGAGAAGTGGAAGGTATTCCCTTCACTTCAAGAACTTGTCTAGCCCAAGCAATAGCATACAGTCCACAATCAACACCATTAGTTTGTTGTTGAATAGGCAATACTTTAATCATAAGATATTTTTTATCACATTGTAAAATAGAGCATATTTGCCTTTTTGTGTCAAAACTAACTGCACCATGAAAAAGACTATCAAAAATATATATTTCTCCTGCAGCACAACCATATGTGGTCACACAAATCCAGTGGAGATTTCCATCATGAAGAACTTGGACAAATGGGGTGTTCCGATGGATGTTAAAAGCTAGGACTTGACCTTTAATAGGATCCTGCAGACCAACATCAATATCCAATTGCATAGACATGACTTGTTGACAATAATGAATAACTTTATCATTAAGCATTTCACCATTTTCTATCTCATTCATTTCTAAATTTCCAATCAAAGAAGATTTCAGATATTGCACACTCTGAACAGTCCTTTGAATATGGTTACCATCATATTTTATGTTGCCTTCAAGCAACTCATTGCTATCATCAGATAATTTTTCATCAGTCTTTATTGAATCAATTGGAACTGTAAAAATATCACAACAATCGTTTATGGAGTGATTTGTGATTATCTCAGAAAGTAAAGAAACTTTTTTTGTTACTACACTTATATCTGAGGCTGCTTTGTAAACATCATACTTGACACCAACTCGTTTAGTCATCTTCCTTTTTCGTCTAATTGGGAGATGACAAAGTCTAGTTGAATTAATTTCAGTCTTGCTCCAAGTATCTGGTTTATTATCTGGACGCAAAAGAATTCCATTTTCACTTGTAATGCTTTTAACTAAGTCAGTTTTCAATTTATAAAGCCCTTCAAACAACAGATCCACATTTTTTTGAGAGTTGCATAGATAAGACATCTGAGTGATTTCGCTTAATAGCTCACGACATGTTATTATAGAGTGACTACTTTGAATTTTATTTGGCGCAATCGTACTTTTAAAATTCATTCCTTGTACATTTGGAAACGGTTGAGGTTCAAGAGGTATAGACAATTGTGTTTCATGTCCGACAGCATTATTTTGAATACCAACATTGTTAGGATGAAAAAAATCTTGACATACTACAGAGGTTGCATGGCTATTTTCATCTGTCAATAAATCTAGGCTAAAATATGGTGAATTTCTGTATAAGCTACCAAATGCAGACCAGGAGAGATTTTCTTTTATAAAAATAGCAAAAAAATGCTTGCATGGGTATGGACTACTAAACCAGGCAGGGCAAGAACAACTAGGCAAATGTTTATCATCACCAAGATAGCATTTATAGATTTCTCGACTATTTGAATCAAATGAAGCAACGTTGTATATCTTGTCAGTTACAGCATTAATGCCTTGTAAGTCAAGGCCTTTTAATGTATCAATTAAATGCATGCAATGTTTTACCAAAGGTCGTGGACGATCAATCAAATATGGCGGAATTTTTGCATTGTATTTTCTATATGATGAATGTGCCTTTTTATTTTTATCACAATAGCTAAATAAATTATCACAATTATTATTTTGATATAACAAAGACAAGTTAACAATTTATTATTAATTGTAATGCTGTGACTCGTTACATTCATCATTGTTATCTTTTTATAAAAATACTTTAATATATTTAATATACTATTCCATACACTTTTATATCTTAAATAATAACTCAACTAACTTGTCAAATTTGTGAGGAAGAAATTCTTCAATACAAATACTTAGCATAGCTGTTATTGAAGAATTCTTTCGTTTTTCTAAAAAACTATATTTAAAAGATTGATGCTGCCTCTCAGTTCCATTGTTAGTGTTAACATTCAGCAGGAGACGATCCTGTCTGTAAGCAAACACCCATCTCTAAAACATAAAATAAAAAAGTAAACTGTTGGTCAGTTAGTATGAAACATTGTGATAAAATTTTTAATATATATTTGTCAGGTGGTATAAATGTCTTTTTTGGCCAGTTGGTATAAAACACACAATCATCAAAAATTTTGTATAAATAAATAACATAAATAGTACAAAAAGCTTTAACTTTGCAACTTATAACATTAAATCTTATAACATTAAGTAGGAGCATAAGAGAACTCCATGGACCAAATTTCAATATAATCAGAGAAGGTATTAATAGGCTAATTTTGGAATTTTGGGATAAAAATTTATACTTTTCCATTTTTACTTAAAAAATTAGTTTATAAAAAAGTGTATTAAAAAATCAAATTTAATCACATCTTTTTTTTTTAAACAAACATGCAAACAAGATCAGAACTATGAGTTAATCTAAGAGTTAAAA